CTATATATTTTCAGTCATGACTATAAAGAAACTCTGAGAACTCTAAGAGTGCAGTAGTCCCCTTCTAGAAAAAACATGCATGCACCCACTTGCAGGAGTAGAAATATCCCCATTTACCCAATGAAATGGTGGTAATGAATGATTTTTTTTTTTTTCCAAAACTATTCAGTTATATACATTGTGATTATATATAGAAGGTCCTCAGTATATACTCAGCAAATCTGCACTTGATTTAATTCCTTGGTAACAAGCACATAAATGGTAGTTATACTGAGAATCAGGTCATAAGTTTCTTCACCAACAATTTCTAAGTGAGTTGGAAAGAAATTACATGCTGATTTGGAAAAAGTCTTTTTAAAAGTCAGTCTTCAATACAAAAGATGAGGAAAACATGTTATTTTTGTTCCGCTTGACTGCAGCGTTATTGTAGAAGAAGGCATGCATAACCAAACTTGTCCAGAAATGTGTTTAATGTACTTGGAAAACATTAACTTCTTTCTGTAGCTGTATTTGTTGCTCCTGTAAGCCTGTTGCATGGTTTGATTATGGGATAGAATTTCATGTGTTTGTTTTATACCTCAGGGTGAAAATAACTGTGTTTTGCGGGTAGTTTTTTTTGTTTTTTAATTAAAATATAACTCTCAACTTTCTGGATTCAAGACCTTTGTTTTAGGGAAAGGGCAATAATTATTAAACTATTCACTTGTTGATAACGTTCAAATTTGTCTTACGGTTTTTTGTTGCTTTGTTTTGTGAATTAGCCTCCCGCTCAAGGCTACAAAGCAGGAGCTGGGATTTGCATGTAATGGCTGGTCCTGGTTGCTGGAGGCTGGTCGCCAGTGTTTACAGCTGGCATCGGGGTCTTGCCTGAGATCTTGGTGACCCTCTGCCTATCCCAAAAGCAGTTGCCATTGCAGGTTGCTTCATGTGCTTCCACGTACCCCCTTATATTGCACTGAGGTTGATCAGCCATTTTGGTAATCTGGGCCTATTTAAAATACAGATTTAAATGCAGGTCATATATGGAAGAAAAGTAGTAGAGCAGGTGCTAATAACGCAGCTGCTCACCTGTCTTCTTTTCTACTTCCCCTGCCCTTTAGACTAGGGATTTGCAGTGTTGTTTCCTCACAGAGTTACTGAGTGTACGGCACGTTAAGCTGGGACACGCAAAATGGCGTAGGCCTGCGGCATGACACCTGTAAACCAGCTCCTTCAGCAGCTTGACGTGCATTGGCAGAGTAACGTTGAAGGCCACGTAGGTGAGAAGTAGAGAGTCTGGCTTTCTCTGCTCGGGACTCCCAGCTGGTGGCAGTTCCCTGGGGCTTGATGAGGCCGTTTGAGCTCCAGTTGACTAATGGCTGTGGTGTCCAAACACTCAGCCGTTTATCCCCGCCTTGGCACAGTTTCCATGGTCAGCTGGCTCCGTCAAGGACAGCTTCAGCTGGGGCACTTTGCGTGCTGTAAACACAAACCGTGAATTCCGGCTGTGTTACTGGTTTGATTTTACATAAAATTATAGAAATCAAGGAATTTCAAGCTTTCATTTGTGAACTCAATGCAAATTGGTCATACTAGCAGGTTTGAATTTCTTGTGACGGATTTCCAAGTTACTGTTTCCGTTGAGGCATTCAGCATATAACCTTAAGATATTAAAATAAATGTAACTGTGAAGAACTAGCATAAAAAACAACCGTAACTTTAATCTAAAACTGAGCACCTCTCTGATTTTATAAGGAACAGCAGTATGTAAGTACGTGTTACTGTTAGTTGTTGGATATCTTCTATGGATGCTAGGAGACAGACTGTTAGCAGGTTTATGGGGTAGAAAAGAGCTGAAGGACATGCTGAAGTTCAGCAATAACGATGCATATTATACGATCTCTTTGACAGCATCCACAATTCTTGCTATTTTGGGAAAAACTTCAAAATGGAATTTCATCCTTGTCACAAGACAGCTTTAGGGTGACATTCCTGTCATCTCTTGTGTCTAGTTGACAGCATTCAATGGAGACCTGGGCTTGGGTTTAGAGAGTATAATAAGGTGTATCGGGGTCAATGGTTGAATTTCATGTAGAAATTGGTACATAAGAGGAGAAGAAATGTTAGGGGTTTAAGTTATGAAAAAACATAGGTGACCATAACCTGAAAATTAAACTTAGCCTACTAAATCCACCTCGAGTATGGGCTGGGTTATCCCGGTGACATGCTAGGCTTTCTACAGGGAGGGACCTTGGTATGAAATGGACCTGTAATTGTTTGTGCTGCTATGCACAGTCAGTTAAATAAAAATCATTGATTTGTTTATTCAGGGTTATTTTTTCACAGTTATAAAATAGTTTGGGTTCGGTTTTTTTTTGTTGTTTTTTTCTGGATAGCAAGCATATATAAATGTTATTGGTGCTATTTTATCATCTTCTATATTTGAAGCTTGAACAAGTGAGTAGCAAGACAGAGCTATATTGTAACACTTGAAAAAATAATGCTCTTCTGGAGGGCGATTAGGATTAGATACCAAAATTTCCGCAGGGTCTCCAAGCATGGCTCATCCTGCAGCACGCTCTGCACTTGGAGTGCAGGGGCTGAGTGTGATTTTCTTGCTTTCTCCTGGCAGGTCAGGAGCTGAGTGCTGGAGACTCTTGTGATCGTTGCTCTCTGCTGAAGCCTGTCTAAGGTGGAAGTGAAGTAGAACAATACTTGGAAAAAGGGAATGGTGGAAGTGTAAGATAGGAAGCGTTGTGGGTGGCAAGTGAGAAAGGTTGGGGAGTGTGAGCAGAAGGGTCAAACAGCATTTTCCCAACAGTGGAGAAATCTGTGAGCTCCAGGAGCATGAGTTGTCGCAATGCAGACTGAGCCCTGAAGACTGGGCTGACGAAGGTTTGAATCTGGCTACCAAACCCCTTCTTTCTCATTTAGTGGCTGGCCCAAAGTGAAGAGTAACTTTCTGCTTTTACCCATCAGTGGACTAGTGGGTAGAGAGCTATTTCTGCAAGTGAAAAGTTTCTTTTTTGACCTCTCAGGGTAGAAAGGGGAGAAAAGACTTTGCAATATAATTCATGTAGTCAACTGGCTTTTTGGTAAAAGATGAACACAGTGCTGAATAAATAGTTTAAAACTTAGCTGCTAGAAAATTAAAGAATGTGAGATTGAAGGCTTTGTACACAGTTGTAATCTGTCTTCACCTTTTTGTTTGTCCTTGATAATTAGATAACTGCATGTTTTATTTAGCAACAACCGTTCCTGAATAAGAAAGCCCATTTTTGGTAATAAAAAAAAAAAAAAAGAAAATTAACATACTGTGATTAACTGCAGACTGTATATCAAGAACAATTTCAAAGTAGTAGGGCTGTATAGTGCTTTATATGGAAATACTGTTCAGAATTCACCTAAAGATCACCTCTTCCTTTTTGTCCCCTCTTTTATAAACAAAAGAAAACTAAAAGCCAAAGTGAACAAACCCCTAAACCCACACCTTTGGGAAAGAATAGGAAAATACTGCTGATTTACTAGGAAAAAATGCAATGTGCTGGTGAAATAAACAAGTCTTGGCAAATTACAGTTTTGGTTTTAGAAAATATAAAACAGCAAACTATCAACTGGCTGACAAAAAAAAAAGAGTACTTGTTGAATGCTTTTGTGTGTCTGACTTCTGAGTTTTCTGTGAGAAGGGAATTGTTATAGCTGCTTCTAAGTCTAGATTACGCATTATTACATGAGGATGGATCACTGCACTGCTTTGTTGCCTTTGGTGCTATATACAGTTTTGCATCTCATGGCTCTTTGTGCACTTCACATTTGCTTTTTGTAGTGATGTGTGAGTAGATATGATGCTTCAGAACTTTAAGTGATTTTATTCTGAATTGTTCAGTTTCTTCAGCTGCTTAAAAGAAAAGCCAGCCTGTGTTTTAAGGCAGATACACAAATAAGGGGAGATTGCAAAACAGTCCTGATGTTGGTCCTGTCTAGCTTGGCCAGCAGTCTAGGAAACATTTCATATTATGCAAGTCTCTTTGTAGCTAGCCTTTGTAGTGAGGTATGATTTGGTAATTGGTATGGTAATTAACCTGGAAAACTATCCTCTGCTTCGCTTGCCAACTGGCTTTATGTGCTGTGATGTTAATTGGTAAACTGATCCAATGAAGAGAGGCTTGCAATGTTTACAGGCTTGACTGTATTTAATTCATCTCTTTTTTTCAATGAATGGCTTTTTTCTGTTTGGTGGGGGTTTTCTTGTTTTCATTTTAAACTGCTTTTCAGAGTTTTGGTGTTCATGAAGATTTTTCCAAAAAAAGGAAAAAAAAAAAAAAAAGCAACAAACAACTCCAAGAAAAGGGTGGGGGTTTTTTGTGGGATGCTCTTCTTGGATATAAATTTCTGGCTTCATGAATTTATGTATGCTAGGCTGTAAAATATTGACATGCTTTTAATGTTAGTTCTGGTTGCCTTACATATGGTGTTTGTGTATATATTCCTGAAACAAAATGCTATTTGACAAAACGTGATCTGCATTAACTCAAGTCTGTTTTGTCAGTTGAGAAGAAACCTATTTGTTTTATTGTAGTCAATCTTGTATGGTAAATATAGAAATATGTAGGAAATGTATAAAGCAGTAAAGGATTTACTAGTTACAGATGACAAAAACTTGTCTTGACATTGCCTTCCTGCTTTAGAATAGCTGTTTGGGTTTTTTACTGATTTGAACTAAGGCAATGGCCCATGCCTAGCCTAAGTATACATTGCAGGGGTCACCTGTGATTCTCTTCAGAATGTTCACATTTAGAACAGGGAAGCCCCTCTATATATGCGTTTATGTTCTTGTGTACAACATGCTAATTTTACAACTTATTCTTTTCTATAAGAAGCGTTTGTTACTATAGGTATTTGGGGTATAATGAAGTCTTCATGATGTTGTGGGTTTCTCTGAAAAAACATAGATGAAACAGTGAATTATAAGAACTGTTATTAAACATAATTTTTGTTTTATAGGTTATTCAGCAATAGTTATGAACTCCCGTTTACGAGCCTTAGGTGGGAGGATAAATAACATACGAGCATCAGAACTACCAAAAGAGAAAACCCGATCAGAGATAATCTGTAACGTCCACTTTTTGGATGGCTCAGTACAAAGCTTCAAAGTCAACGTAAGTTTGGAAAACTACTTTTTTTTTTTTTTTTTAATACATAGAAATTTGTTTGAAAGCAGAAGGTTGAATGTGTGACTCTGAGGCATGGGATTTCCAAAAGATGCTGAAGATGTAGCTTTGCCATTACAAATTGCAGAATTACTGGTTATGAAATGGATTTATGAAGTGCTATTTTAATTTTATTTAAAGTCAACCAACTGAAATGTCATAAAATCATGGCATGCAGATTGTATCTGGAAAAAGGTCTTCTGTATGATATGGGAACGATGAAGAAACAGATCTGGTGATCATTATCAGCTATGAATAAGTAATTCATATTTAAAGGGAACTCCCAAATTTGAATGTGCTCCTCCTTTTCTCCCATCACAGGACTGGTAGTATTAAAAGGAGGAGGCCTTGTAAATTCCTGTAGTGATGTCAATACATATTTTCTGAAGTGCAAAGATGATGTAAATAGTGAAGACATCATGGCTTAGTAGGACAGTCCTGTTCAGTCTTTTGTACTTCAATGTAGTCTCTTTATCTGGGAGCAGGGAGGGAAAGGGGATTAACAGAGGTTTATACTCTACTTTTTTGCTGTATTTTATTCTGTAAATATTTTGGTTTAATCAGTACTGAAGGGTATAAAAGTATTTGTTCATTTTTAAATGAAAACAAAGGAAATACCTTCACTCAGTCAATTTTCAGTAGAATTATCTGACCGTGCAGAAAAACTGTGGATGAATTTAAGTATAACTGTGTGAATTTGTGTGTATGATACTTGTTTTATCCAATATGCCCTATTTGCGAATAAGTGTTTTGCTGCGGAAGCTGCGTTGTTGGGTATCTCAGATTATACAGTGCTTTCGTATGGGAGATTCAAAACTTCGCCTGAAAACTATATTTTCCTAAGTATTATTACAGTTCTCTTTGCAGACTGATTTTATTTTTGAACTTTGTTGGATATTTATTGAAATGGGAATTATTTGACAGGTAAACAGATGATTTTCATTCCAATACATATGGAATTAGTCTCATATTTTAGTATATATTTATATACTATATGTATGTATATTTATATACATATATATGTGCATATGTATCTATATATGAAATAGCTGAGATTGGGGAATGGAGTACAAGGAGAGTGGATATATAAGAGAAGATGCAAGAGATTAGTATACAACTTCCGTTGTTCATCTCCAGCATGTCCTATAGGATTGCCTTGTCTGTCAATGAGCTAACATAATTGCCCACCCCCTTGCACAAGGCCCTTTTTGAAAAATGAGGAATTTAAAACTTTTTGAAATCTGTGCATAGTAGTATATTCTTCCTTGTAAACAAGCGTTTATGCAGCTTTAGATTTAGCGCTTGGCCTGAAGTCCAGCACAGTACAAGTGAACTTTTGCTTCTCACTTCATCCTTTAAGCAGTGTGTGCAATATGGTAAATAGGAACCCCTTTGAAACTCTAGACCCAGCTGATTTCTCTCTCTGCCTGCAGCGTATCCCCAGGCTATCCCTGCTGGCTACCTCCTTCATCTGGGAATCGGAAGGGCTTCCTTTCCTGCAGTTATAATGCTGAACTGCCATAGGGGTAATGCAGGACCCATTATCGCTTTATTGAAAAGAAGCGGGGATGGTGACTACCCTGCTATGTTATGGGCTAATGCAAGGAAGAGGTTTACCAGCAGATTTATGTTCTTCAAGTACTGAGCTTTCATACTTGTACTGAGGGAGCCTGCCCTTATCTGCCAGGATAGCCCTTACTGATTATCTAACCTTGATGTCTGCCTAAGAACAGGCTTTGCTGCACTCTGGTTGTGTCGGAAGGTCCAGTTCTCAAAAGGGTTTGAAGCCAGCTCTAGAAAATTTGTATCCAAGTTCTGCTTATGTTAACAGAAAAATTTAACTTTGTGAAGTTTGTGCCTGACTGTGCATGTGTGTTTGTTTTAATTGCCAACATCATTCAGTTTTATCTCTGTGAGCAAAGAGTAACTCAGGTCTGTGGTCAGTCTAGGAATCAGCTAGGCACGTATTGAAGGAAAGTAAGTTTTGCTCTGAACAGATTTTTCCCCACTAGTGAAGTCTTTCTGTGTTGCTATAGAGAAACTGTTTCTCACATCAAGACATTGATTTATAGATCTGATTTTGCTCCATACTTTATTCATTTCTGGATGCCAGCTCAAATGATAATTCTTTATTTTTAAGAAATTAAATATGCATATCACATGGCATGATTATCTATAAGACAAATTTACAGCAATGTATTGATTAATGTAGTAATACGTTATTAAAATGAAGGTGCTTTCTGAAATGACTAGACATAGATAACATATATGGGTAAAAAGGCATACTATGTCTTGTGAATGTTGTAAATACGTTTTTCTGGTTTTTTACTTTCTCAGTTTTTACTGTTATTGCTGAAATCTGTTGAATTTTTCTCTCCTGTCTGAGTTTGGAGAATTGGAACTGAACAGGATCACCTCTTTTAAAGCATAGGGTATAGTGTTTTCTGCTTTTAAAGAACTTCAACGTATCAGTGGAAAATTAAGGTTGGGAATTTTTCAGAGTTGTATGTCTGTGGGCTAGTGGCACCTGCTTGTGATTTATGAAAGCTGTAAGTTTGGATATATGTTAGACTCTGAACTAATATTAGGCTGATATTCATGTATACATAAGTATGCTTTACGTTCATAGACAGGATTATACATTTCTACCACAAATAGTGGAAAGTGAATGAGGAAAAGCAGAATACTCAAAGCTTGGCCTTCATCCATTTGATAGCATAAATGGAATTGAAGACTCCTCCCATTCTAGTGACAACAGACTGAAAAATACTGAGCATTGCAGCAGCTATCTGAACACAGAATTCTTACTGCAAGGATTTCTTTCTTTCAAAGGCATAGAGGGATTATATAGAAAAATAACATCAAAGAAAAAACACCATCAATGGTAAGAAGAGCTTGAGAGAAATATGCTTTGGATTTAAGCAAATAGATATTCCTAAGTTGTCATTTCTAATATTTTATTGGCACTGCACGGATGCTCAAGACTAGTAAATTTGAGGTGGATTTAAATTTAATACAAAGATGATAGATTAAATAGTCTAAACGTACAACCTATTGACACACTGGAAAGAACAAAGTATGTATATTGAAATTTCGAACTAGTACTGACATCTTTAAAATTATGGTAGAACATTCATGGTATCTCCAATTGGAGAACAGGGAGAATAGAGATATGACTTTTCTTTCTGTAGCAACAGGTTCTTTATAGAGCCCATGCAGCTGATTTTCATCAAACTTTGTTAGCAAACTGCATGGGCTTATGAAACTTTCCAAGTTATAGCTATAGGTCTCTTTATCATTCTGCTAGATGGTACTTTCTTTTCCTAGTGATTGTACCTGTAGCAGTGTGAATGAAAACCAAGTATCCTAAAACTGGGCAAAGGAAGAAGGAAGGTGGATTTTGCTTATGGAAATAATCTGAGGGACTTTCAATCTATTGAGAAACCTGAAGCTAGCTGCATAATTTGATTCTGCAAATTTGTTCTTATAAAATGCTTATCTCAAAGAATATCAGTAGCCTGACCAACTGTAAATAAAGACTTAACTTCAAGAGAGTGGTGCCGTTTTTCTCATGGATTTTTGGCTTTGGCAGAATAGTGAAGCAATAGGCTTTTTTGTCCATTGTTTTTATTTAAAGGTGTTTATACTACAGTTTTGATGAATCTGGAATTGGTATTGATGGTATCATAAGGAGTTAATCAGTATAACTTGTGGTATGTGCTGTTCTTAGGTCATCATTATCAAGAAAGTTGAAGTACAGACACATTCCACTACATTGCTTACAGTCCAAATTGAAATGTATGTTAACTCCTCAAGGCTGAAATGGCCTTTCTTGTCTTTTTCCCTGTAATGTGTTTCAGTGTTTAGATGGAACATGTCCAAAGTCCAGGCAAAGGGTAGAAGGTGCACATAAGCTAAGAGTTGGAAATGTTCCTCTTTCAAAAACACATTTGAGACAGACTTGACTGCACTTGGTATCTAGTATTGCACTTGACTTTAATTATATCCAGGTTTTCTTGAAGCCTTCCAATAAATTTCAGGTGTTTGAATTTTGTGATAAGGTTAATTCACTTCTGTCTCTGATGTTACCTCTGTCATGTTACAGGCTGTAATACATAAGCTTTCCGCATGGGGAAAAATGTTAGTTGTTGTTCTAGTATATACAGAATGTGCTCACATACCATGTTTGGGTGTATTTAATAGGTGTATATTGAGCAATAATGCAAATTTATTTGTAACTTTTGATATAGACATGCAGGAATTTTCCATTATTGCTTTACTTTGACTCAGTTACCAGGAATGACCACTTGGGAAGTATGCCTTTCAATTTCCAGTAAACTGACTTTTGTGAAGGGATAAAATTTACAGTGTCAGATCACTTCTGTATTGTGTTGTCTTTCTGAGTTGACACTTATGTCTTAGTACCTGTGATTTTTGCTTTTAGACTAGTTGGCTTTCAGTAATAGTGTTTCCTTCTAGAAATAAAATGCTTAGGTAGTAATAATGAGAAAAGTTGCACGACTTGAAATTCAAAACGTAAGGTACGTTTTTTCCTTCCCCACCATCTCAGTTACGCTCCTTCTTCCAGTATTTGAGAAGGAACCTGATTGTTGCAACTAACACCAACAATTCCTCTTGGTATGTTTAAAATAATGGGCAGGGATGCAAGTGCTAAAGGTTCTTTTTGTTTGTGGATGTGAGTTTTAAAATTTTAAACTGCTCACAGTAAAATGCAATGATGCAGAATTGTTGGATCTTTGTCACTAGGTTTTCCTAGTGGATACTGTTTGATAATACAAGACAGTTTAGTGCTAATCCGTGTCCTTGCATGTTGAAAGAATGGCTGTATGAAGTTTCAGGCTCGCAACAACTATTTAGTTTTATATTGAGGCAGATCAGTATCCTCTATGACTAGAAAGCAGTAAGGCAGTATGAAATTTGATGATGCC